GAACGCCGGTTTGGGGCCCGCATTTCTTGCATCATGGCCCCGTCCTTGGCCAACCCAAGAGGAAAATTGCCAATACACACACATCAGGAATCCGGGTGTAAAGTGTTGTGTGGCTTATGTGTTGTTTTGATGGGGACTTGGCAAACCAATCGTATTCAAACTGTATTCTATTTTTCACAACGGTTTTAAAGGAGTGCTTTGTAAACAGCAAAACCTGTCCTTACAAAACCGACCTCTTGCAAATTCACAGGTGGAATTGTGCTCTCGAGGAAGTGGATGATATCGGGATCTAGGTATCCCAAGTGGAATTGCTCCCGTATCTGTGCTTCGTTCTGTGCAAAGTCTGACTGCGGGATTTCAGCCTTGAGGGCAGTCATGATTGCCAAAAACCCTCCACAGGCACTGTGAACCGCACTGGCGTCTTTGAAACCCCATGGTTTCTTGAGCCCGGGCGGGATCCGATCCCAGTCAGCGTTCAAGCGTTGAATGAAGAGCTTCACCTGGCAAATGAAATGTGGCGGGTTGATTTTAGAAAGACATGAACCTTAACTTACAAATTCCATTAGGAAACTGCTACCCCCGAAGGTTTGATCATTCTCCACCGGTCAGGAATTCTAGTTCGCAGAGCACACAGGAAATTGCCTGCCTAAAATGCCTTCATCAAAGCCTTGTCCCGCTTTAGAGTACCCATCAAGGAAGCTACCTCTGGCAAATTTCTTGTTTCGCCCCCAAATCCAAAGCAACCTGTAGCCACCAGGACTAAAAGAAAGCCAAGTTCAAGTCATGTCCCAAAGGAGGTTCATGTTCTTTTTGCAAAACAGGGGCTAGAAGTGAACCATCAAAACCACCAGCATTGCCAACTTACCCCCAAACACACAACCCGACACGTAGCAGCCAGGCGTCCAACTCATTGTCGTCGTTGTTTGACAAGTCAACACCCCAAGCACACAACGCTCCGCTTGCACCACTGCTAAAGCCACGGTTGAAAAGGTCTTTGCACAAAAGGTCGTGGTTCATGAATTGCCTCATTCCACGGACTCGCGTACTCTCCTTGAGCATAGTCACGATCTCTGGGTTGATTTTGTCCTGAAGGTTCGAAATGGCCTGTGCTTCACTCTTGCCAATGGAAAAAGCGCGAGCAACTTGGGTTGCATTCTGCCACTCCTGAATTGAAGAATCACATGTAATCAGTTTTAGTCAATGTGACTTAAAGCGCCATCAATCTTCAGACTGACACTCCCATGAGGGTTTCTCAACAACAGTCCCACCATGTTTGTCAAAACAAGCCCAAGTGTCCGTGAAGTCGCTTGCCTCCCCGCTTTTGCGAAGGACTTCTAGTTGGCGCAAGAAATTCATTGCATTCGGTGCACGACGGGTCGCGACATGGGACATTGTGATGCCTCGTACTGGTCGCGATCCACTGCAACACACAGCTAAAAGCACAACCGTCACTGGGTGGAAGAACAAACACAGCATTGAGGCTTTACCATACAGTCAAACCCATCATGAAGTGACCACAGCATGCACTGACACGTCACCTCGAGAGGCCCATATTGCCTCCTTGGAAGACTGAAAAGCTCCGACCGTGGCATGCACCACTTTGAGCGAGTCCTGATCGAAAAACTAAAGGCCAGCTATAATCACTTGATTCAAAGTCTGAAAGCCCATAACTGATACTCGTACTACAGTGACTACAGTACTTTTGCTTTGAACTAAATTGGGGTCCTTGAAATTCGTAGTGAGATCCTCAAAGCTAATACCGAGCGCTCGCACATCTTCACAACAGATGAGACACGCCAGCGATCGGCGCCATCCCTTTATGTAGGCAACAGAGAAAGGAGGAAGAGCGGCTCCTCCAGACAGAAACATGGAACCGGAAACAACAGAGCAGCGGCATGGTCTGTGTTTCACAACTGCAAAACAATCTGGAAGCTGGATGGCATCGGGCCTGCTGTGGAATCCAAACAACCAATCGGCGCATATTTTGACTCCAGCCAGGACTCATGAGGGGGCCAAATGCTGAGCTTCTCTGTCCCAGGAGAATTTGGGTCTGTCCTAAACCTGGCTCGGCTGCTTGCCCAAAAGGTCACTGAAGCAATAACAGCAAAAGGTCAATCAAGCAAATGTCAGAGCACAAAAGTTCATCTTGCTGAGAAGACATGCAGACCACGTAACCCCCTTGTGAGGATTAGTTCCATCAGAGTCACCATGTCGAAGGAGTCGCTCATCCCAGGCAAACCAAAGTCAGTGCGAAATCCAAGGTGAAAGACTCTGAGGTACTTGCCACCTGGAGACATGTCCTCGCTGTAGGTGATCCTCCACCAAAAACCAATGAGGTAAAACTTTTCTGATTGAATTCTTCCTACCTCGAAGACGCTGGAAAGTTGGCATCCAGCCAACACGCAAAGTCCAATTGCCGGCCTGGAGATGAACCCAGAATTGAATCCTCATCAACTGTTCGGTTTGCTGCTTGTCAAAGGCTGTCCTTCTTCGAGTACTTATTCATCAAGTAGCGATCCGGGCTCCCCTGTGGGACAACAATGGAAGTGAACCTTGGGCAATTGTGACCGTTGTGTAAGCAAAGAATCACAGCTATAAGGCTTCTTGTGGTTTATGTATATTGCATATATAATCTATGTTTTTGTTCACTTTGATGAGATTCAATTCTTGCCCCTATTTCGGTGGACTACCAAAAAATACAGTACACCATAAGTCTATCAACTCCATGTGTCTATTTTTGGTGCTCTTTTTTAATGGCTGTTGTGTGTTCTTGAGATTGTGATTGGTTGAAGAACTATCTTTGATCATTAGCTATTCAACGTATTAGTTTCCACAACACTCACTTTAAAAGGAAACATCACAATTAGAAGTTTGCAGCCAATGGGCCACTCCGTGATGCGCTTCACATGAGGCAGTGGTGACACCTCTGGGGCTCCTTTCTGGTTGGTTTTGGCTGCCTTTGCTTTCCCTGCACTCCCATTGGACACACGTTTTCCCATAGCTGCCCACGGGAAACCGTCTCAAAAACGGCTGGCTGCAACCAACCACACAACTAGCACAGCAAGACTCAAAACCGACTGGCGGGTCAGGAAAGCAAACGCCTGACAACGTCAATATCGTTTTTCTGTGACAGCTGAATCTGGCTAGCACCAATGGCTTGTCTGGCTAATAAGAGTGACACAGCAGTGGCAAAAGAAAAATCAAAACAGCAACATATGTCCACACTTACAAGACTGCATGTAAAACACACTCACACCATAAACATGCACAGCGCTGTGTCTGGAAAGGAAACCAAGCCGGAAAGTACCTGGCACACACCAAGTATCGCCCGTTGAACATAAATACCATTGTTTTGTGAATCTTGGCAGTAAAAGTGTGGGTGTGCCTCTCAGGCCAGAGCTTCAAAGCCAAAACCCAACCTTGCTCTCACTGACCAGGAACAACTATTGTTTCAGAATGAAGACACTCGTTGTAAGCACACTGTGAATAGTAAGCTCCAAACTGCTGTGATCTTGAACAGTTGGCAATCGAATGCAATATCTCAGCCTTAAGCAGGACTCTGTGAATTTTGAAGACTCCGAATCTTGACACTAAGCAAACTATGGGACAGGCACACACACAATGCACCCACAACACTGAAACACAGCTGCACTGAAAAGGAAAGCTTACAGCATCAACTACAAGTCCGAAGCTGATTCGAGCACTGTTCTTGCACCAAAAATGGCACGGTGGGCAATAGTAATATCAGACTCATACGCAGTATCCCCATGTTTTTGAGCTCTGCCAAAAACAGCTGCTTCCACAGGCAACGATTGTCATTGCTTTGCAATGATTCAAAACACAATCAAAACATCAGACTCAAAATGCAATCCCCAATACAAGGCATAATTGAGTCTAATCCGAGGTGGCTTTAGACACAAATCCATGTACAGAGTGAACCAAAATTAGCTTTCAGTAGTTTTCCAAAATTGCTGTTGGGACATGTGCAGGTGGTTTGAGTCTGATGTGAGGTGGGATCCGACACAAATACAAGATTCAGCAGCAAGCAGGTTTTGAGTCGGACACTAAATTAGACACATTTCATATGTTCACCCCCTTCAAAGTTTGAGTCGGATATCTCAATCTGAGTCGGATCTGAGGTCAAATCCGACACATTCCACACACCCTTTAGACAGGCTCTCTCGATTTGAGTCGGATCTGAGGTCAAATCCGACACATTCCATACACCCTT